CCCCCAATATGTTTTTCCAAAAAAAAAAATATTAAAAAAAAATTTCAAAATAATGTTACATTATTTTGTGTCTTATGCCATCAATGCTGATTAATTCCCGTGGTGTCAGAAATTGTTCGTTTTAGTCCCCAAACTGTTGTTATTGTTGTTAGATGACATTGAGTCTGCTCCTGCTCAGTGGAGACCCTCTGTATGGCAGAACCAAACCCTGCCTGATCTGAGCCACCTCATAGTCTCTGCTATGTGTAAGCCATATTTGCAGTCACTGTGTCAGTCCATTTCATCAGGGGCCTTCCTCTCCTTCACCTCTGCACAGAGTAGATGTGCCATGGTCCTCTGGCCTCTTGGTGCAGCAACAGTTTTTGAAGGTTTTTGATCCCCTCCAGGGTTTCCTGGAACTACTGCTCTGTTGTTGTTGTTGTTGTTGTTGTTGTTGTTGTTGTTGTTGTTGTTGTTGTTGTTAGGTGCCATCGATTCCCCTGCAAGTCATAGTGGCCCTATGTAAAACAGCTCAGAACCTTTCCCTATCCTGAGCCAGTGTCATCATCCCCTGCAGACCTGATCTCATTTCTCTAATCACTGAATCAGTCCATTTTATCTGGGGTCTTCCTCTCCAGTGCTGTCCCTCCACCCTTCCAAGCATCATGTTCTTCTCTAAGGAATGGTTCCTCCTGGCCACGTACCCAAAGATGGACTTCGGAATCCTTGCCTCTAGAGAGCAGCTCTGTTTTCACCATCTCCAGGATGAACCTGTTTGTTCTCCTTGCAGTACGTAGTAGTTCAACACTCTTCTCCAGCACTACAACTCAAAGACAGTGATTCTTCTTCTATCATCCTTAGTCATTGTCCAGCTCTCTGACACATAGCAAGTAATTGCAAAGAGACCATGGCCTGTGTCAGGTGCACCTTAGTCTCCAGACTGACAACATTGTTCTTCAGTACTCTGGAAAGGTCCCTGACAGCACACTTTCCCAATGCAATTTGTCTTTTGATTTCCTGACTGCTGGTTCCAAGAGTGCTGATTGTAGAACCAAGCAACCTGAAGATGTTAACAATCTCAGTCTCTTCTCCATCTATCATGAAGGTGCCAATTGGCCTGGTGATGAGAACCTTTGTCTTGACCTTCTGCAGCATATGCCTCCCGTCCTCCTCAATTTCAGCAAGCAAGGTTGTGTTATTGGCATAATGCAGGTTGTTGATGAGTCTTCCTCCAATCCTTACCTCACATTCCTCTCATAAAGTTCAGCCTCCCCAGTGATCTGTTCTGTATATAGATTGAAAAGGTATGGAGACAGGACAAATCCTTGATGCACTCCTTTCCTGATCTTGAACCATGCAGTGTTTCCCTGCTCTGTTCTGACTACTCTTTTCTGGTCCAAGTATAGGTTTCTCATGAGCACAATTAAATGTTCTGGGTTAGCTTATATATGAGGATGGCTGAGGTGGCACTAATATAAGGTAAGGATGAAGAGAAGTATAGATAGAGTGTAATTTAGAAAGGTAGAGAGAATGAGGGAAGGCATCCATATATTGAGCAATAAATTATTAAAAACAAAAATGATCATGGCATATTTTAAGAATAGATTGACCAGTCACTGAAATGAAAGGATTGCATGGGGAAGTGGTAAGAAGTTAAATTCTAGAGCGAGTAAAATAATAGGTAATTTCCATGAACCTGACTGTCCACTAGAGGAATGTGCATTTGAGGGGCATAGATTCACTTCTTGAATCTATAAAGGAGTAAGTAATGTTTAAGAGCAGTAAAACAAGGTATTAAAAAATGTATTCAGATTATATTGGTAAAATTTTTTAGAGATAAGTTTGATAATTCGCATCCAAGCCCTTAAAAATACTTGTTTCTTTTAATGCAGTCAGGAGTCCTGGATTGTGCAAACTATTAAGTGCTTAGCTGTTAACCAAAAGATTGATGATTGGAGTTCACCCAAAGGTGCTTTAGGATAGAGGCCCAGAGCGCAGCTTCTGAGAAATCAGCCGATGAAACTCCAATGGAATGTAGTTCTTGTCTGATGTGTGTGATGGGTCAAAATCAAGTTGACTGGCTATTTATTTTGGGATTAAGGTATTTTGTTGGGTTTTTTAAATTATTCTTTGTTTTTAATAAAATTTTTATTTTATACTGGTTTACTTACAAAGTCTGTATGCATTGTATTCCACACCAGATCTTTCCCAGTCCCTTTACCCACTCCTCTGTCCACCCTTTAAATTATTCTTAATGCATGAAGTTCACTTAGAAAATTAGTGTAAGTAAATGTTGTTATTGTTGTTGTTAGGTGCCATCGAGTCAACTGTGATTCCTAGCAACCCTGTGCATGACAGGTCTGAACCTTGCCCTGTCCTGTGCCAGCCTCTTCGTCTCTGATAAACTCAAGCCATTGTCACAGTCACTGTGCCCATCCACCTTGTTGAGGGGCATCCCCTCTCTCTGACCCTCCAGGCTCCTCAGCATGGTGTCTTCTTCCAAGGCTGAGCTCCACCTGACAACAAGCCCAGTGTATGTGAAGTGAAGTTTCATCTTGCTCCTTAGGAACACCCTGCTTACACCTGACCCAAACCCAACTTCTTTGTTTTTCTGAGAGTCCATGGATTATCCAG